GGAAACTATAAATGTTAACTCTGTGTATCACGTACAGTTTTGCTATTAGCATGAATTGTGAAAATTGAGTGTGCAGAAACTACATAGTTAACTAAATGTTGCTTGCTTCAACCAGGTGACTTTTAACGTTCTTTTAAAAAAAGTTGCTTTGGTAGCATGTATACAAAAATATTAACAATTGTTTGTTCTTTTGGTTTATCTGTTCTTCTAAAATGAGTTAGTGTTACTGGTGTAATAAAAAGTTTATTGAGAATCAATAGCAAGACTATTCCTTTGTTACACTGTGTAGCTTTGGGCTGGCATTGATGCAGGGACAGTGGAGTTACAGACATACCTGATTTCACCTTACTTATTAGGTGACCGAGGGTAAGTTACTTAACCTTGCTAAGTTTCATGTGAAGAGGAGGGAAAATAGTATCACTCCAACAGGGCTGTTGTAAGAACTGGATGAGATAACTATGATCACTCCACCCTCATATTAAAGCAAATGCTTTATAGAACATAACAAATAACCTGAAAAAAATTTTTTTTTTCAGAGAAACTTATGAGTCTGTCTATAGAACTTCAAAAAAAGAAAAAAGCTACCATGGACATATTACTATTTTTTAAAAAAATTGTTGCATTTAACACAAATTAAAAAATCAGGGCTGGCCAGTTGGCTCACTTGGTAGAGTATGATGCTGATAACTCTAAGGTCAAGGGTTCAAATCCCTGTACCAGCCAGACACCAAAACAAACCAAAAAAAACCAAAAATCAAACTGAAATGTATCTAGTGGTAAACTATACCACTACAGTACCCTGTATGTTCACTTTTATCAGAGTGAAAATGTAGAGCCTGAAATGTAATACTGAGCCACTACTAAGTCTTTCTTTGTGTACCAGGTTCTTTAAAAGATAGTCTCATTTTAACAGTCCAAAAACAGGTCTGAGATCCTGTAGGATTAAATATCCCCTAAAACATTGTACCTCTATTCCCTGCATAAGAATTTAGGTTTGGTATGGTATGACCAGAGGAATAGACTGACTTTGAGTTACTTAAAAAAAAAAAAAAAAAAACCCTCTAGATCCACTAGATGAATTGCCAGGGGATCATGCTGAGTGGAAAAGCCAATGCCAAAATTGTAGCTGCTGTATGATTCCATTTAAGTAACATTCTTGAAAGGGCAAAATTGTAGGCACAGAGTACAGAATAGTGTTTTCCAGAGAGGAGGGAGGGGGTGTGGCTATAAATGGGTGGCTGGAAAGGTCCTGTAGTGACAGAATGTTCTGGATCTTGACTGTAGCAGTGTCAGTACCCTGGTTTTGTACTATGCTGTAGTTTTGCATGATGGTGTCACTATTAGGGGAAACTACATAAAAGGCTGCACAGATTTCTCTATTATTTCTTACAACTATGTGGGAATCTACAGTTATCTCAAAAAGTTAAATTTAGGGCTGCCCAGTTAGCTCAGTTGGTGAGAGCACGCTGCTGATAACACCAAGGTCCAGGGTTCAATCTCTGTACCAGCCAACCACCAAAAGCAAAACAAAGAAAAAGTTTAATTGAAAAAAAAATCTAGTTTGATTTCTCATCTGGAAAATTGGGGCAATAAAGATGATTCTCATTTTTCCTAAGTTTTGCCTAAATATAGAAGTCTTCCACAATGAAGTCAAGGCCAAGTCCTTCAAGGAGAAGACATCAGCAACAATAGGCCTGGCCTCCTGTGGTTGGGGGCTTGGAAAATCTCAGAGCCATTTCCATGGGAACTTGACCTCCACCAGGTGACAAGGCAGAAGAAGCCCACCTCAAAAGCCTGGCATTGACTACACTGTGAGACTCCCATTTGTCGACTATAATGACTAAACATTTTTCAAATTAATAATCATGAGTCCAAATTACTTTTGTACCAATCCTTCAGTGATGGAGTCCTGGAAATAGTATCAAACAAAGGGAAGAGTACACTCGACACATTTGACATAATTTGCTGAGGGTATTTCTAGCCTAAATTTGTTGCATGAATTCTAACTGAAAGCTCCCCCTCCTGTAATTAATTCTGTATTATTTGTACTTTAAAAAGAATGATAAATTCTGAAAAATAGCCCTTGTATGCATTTTCCTAATCTTGTTTACTAAGACCCTGTGTACATTACTTTATAATAGTGACAAAAACACAGACCCATATTATGTGATAGTATACGTATCAATACTTTGAAAGTTAATATTTTAATATATAATGCTATGTTAAGCAGTGTAGGCTTTAAGAGTCATTGATCACCTTAAGTAGTGGAGTTTATTGTGAAGATCTGAAGGAAATAAGGAAAACGGTGCGGGGTGGGGGATCTGATTGCATACCAAGCATTGAAAAGGTGAAGTCTGGGAATTGACAGAGTTCAGGGTTCATGCAGCTCCAGGCACATGGTGAATCTTCATTCTCTTCAGCAGGCGTGGATACCACTAGTAGTGCTCCCCCATTATTCTGACAGCTCATTTTCCACGTTTCTGCTTTTCTTTTTCCCTTGGCTCCTGTTTGTTTCCATCCATTCTGCTTTCTTCCTATGTCAAGTTCAGGTAATCCCAGAGTGAGGCTGAGGGCCTGTTTGGCATGGCATTTGTACTCAACCACTTCACATGCCACGGGCCAGACTCTAGATTGCATGCCCCCAGAGGGCACACCCTGGGTCCCAGTCAGTCATTGCCAGGGTGGCAGGATCACACAGAGCCAACTGGTTATTGGTGTAGAAGGAACTCCTTAGAAGGAGGGCCAGAGCCATAGGCATTCTGAGGACTTGCTGGTACAGATGACAATGATTGTTTAGGGATATCTTTTAATTAAGCAGTAGATTACATTTTCTTAGGAAGTGGGAGTGTCTTACATTTCAAAAGATTCGGTCAAGATTTGAGCCACAGTGTGTTGATGAAACACAATTTAATTTCATGTCAATCACTTTCACCATTAAAATAAGTAAAGGAAAAAATGGATAATTTACCAGCATGAATTTTGTTGACAAACTTCTCACAGGTGAGAATCAAGTGAGATTCTAATATGAAGATAAAGGACTGTGCCTGAAGCATTCTTTACCTGTTTGTCTTTTGTCCCCAGACACATAAATGTTCCATGGATAGAAAACAAATCACCCTGACAGTAGAAAAATGTATAATTTCCAATTTCTGAGTAAAATTAATGAACTACATCTGTATAACTGAGAACAGTATCATTTGATGACTGTTTTAAGACTGAAAGGAAAAATATCTAAAAATCAGTAAGCAATGATATTTCTAGACACTTGGTTATATAGTTCTTGACAAACTTCTCGTTTTCAGGTTCCATGAGATAAAAGTGATCTCCTGGAAGCACATGAATATTAAATCTTCCACTGGTTACATCTTTCCAGCCTAAAAATAAACAATGTTATATTTATTAACAAATGACAACTAAAGATTACCAACTACAACTAAAGGTTTATTTCCAGACATTATTTCTGCGAGAGCTGATACCCAATGGTAGAGTTACCTCCAAGGTCTTATGTTCTGTGTCCTCTATTTTTAATTTCTTTGAGACCTATCAGTACACAGCAGTATTATCTGCATTCTCTCATTTTACACAGACCGACACCTCTCCTATGACACCAAATTAAACTTAGACCCATTTTCATTTTCTACTCATTGTAGTAACTGCTATCTGACATTAGCTGAAACCATCAAACACCTATTTCAATGAAATACCCAAGACTATAAAAATGATTTCACCTTCCATATCCTTGGCTATGTCGTTAGATCCAAGAAAGCATGTTAAGTCACAAGAAAGAACGGCCTCAGATGGTGCATCAAAGCTGTGACCATAAAAGAGCTGGTTAGTAATTTTTTATACTCAACATCACACACCTTTTCCTGTTAATAACTTCAATGAAACATGGGATGGACTCATTTCTTCCCTTTTGGCTAGTTCTAGCAACGCAAACGTGTTTTCACCAGTGCCACTGCTATCTATCAGAACCTGCCTGAGACTCACTGTGGGCCAGGCCCTTTCCTGACATCATTTAACTTCTAGAATGTTGCAAGTGGCAGCAGAGTGGCACCGGGGTACCGAATCCAACTCAGGGTAAGACTGGTTACAACGAGTACAACTAGCACTGTTATTTCCCAGACATGATGATTTTTGTGGGATCTCCTGGCTCTCCATGAGGCCAGGCCCTTTCCTGACATCATTTAACTTCTAGAATGTTGCAAGTGGCAGCAGAGTGGCACTGGGGTACCGAATCCAACTCAGGGTAAGACTGGTTACAACGAGTACAACTAGCACTGTTATTTCCCAGACATGATGACCTCTGTGGGATCTCCTGGCTTTCCATGAAGGTCGCTATGCACAGAGAGAGAGGGGCTTCCGCC